CTACTCGCCGAGTCTGTTCATCGGACTCGGCGAGTCCATGCCATGCAGTCGATCAAACTGCTTCCTGAGATCTGTATTGTCCCGACCATTCATAGGTTTGGTCCTCCTAAGCTGGTACAACACGTAAGACCTTCATTTAGGTGCTCATGCTACACTCCAAGACTTGTAATTTACCTTTTGACTTAAGGCATAAGGATTCCAATCCAAAGCCTCTCTTAATTCCCGAAATACACAGGCATGGGACATTCTGGACCTCTAAAGGTCCTAATACAGGGTTATAATCGTTTGGGGAACAAGGGTAATAATCAATCTAGTCACAAAAGGGTTCCATAAACCCTAAATCCATGCACACATCAACATAGCAGAATATGATCCGAATTATTACCTAAATAATGCACTCTCTGTGTCCCCAATCCTTAGAACTTGATTCCCTTGTTGTTCCTTTAGCCAAACTCTTCTCTTCCTTGCACAATAACTTCTTCAAGATCACCAATGGCCTTCAATCCTTGCTCTAGATGCCCACAACCGATTTAGGGTTCTTCTCAGTCGCTAAAGACGGACAATGACGGCCTATAAGTCCGTTATATACGTTCCAAAACCGAACGGCTAGGGTTTCCGCTGAACAGCGCAGACTCGCCAAGTCCATAATGGACTCGTCGAGTCCAGTCGCGAACCCGCGACCAAATCTGTGGTCCTACTCGGCGAGTCTGGCTCCAACTCGCCGAGTCCCCTCCTAAAACACCCCAAAACAATATTATAACAATACCTGAAATTCTGGGCTGTTACACTAAAAGCTTGGACTCCAACTCCTACTTCCTTAAGGCCTTCTTTCCTCTTCAAAATCACACAAATACTCTCAAGGCTCAAACACACACACACACACACACACAAGCTTTAGAACGAGGGTTAGGGTACTCTTAGGGTTTTTTCTCTAGGAATAGTGGCCATAAATGAGGCCATCATATCCCTTATATAGGGGACTCACCCCAAATTAGGGTTGCACTCTGTGCCTAGTACGCCCAGCATACTAGGTTGCCTCTGCGTCACATGCATGCTGACACCTCAGGTACGCCCCGCGTACTGGTTTTTACTCTTTTTATATTAAGGGCTAAAATAGACAATAGCTTAATAGATCAAGGTTCTCGAAGTATACCTGGACTTGGGATGTTACAAGTTGTGCCTCCAACTCGTCGAGTTCCAGTGTAAAACATACAATTTCTTAAATTTAAAATACGTACTGGGAACCGGGTGTTATAGCTGTGGTGGTGGTATTCACCATAGATTCCATTAAAAGCACCAAAAAATGTAATTAGGGTGAAATATTTGTAAGAAAACAAGAGAAAGAGAAAAGGGAAAAGAAAACGCACATTACCAGAGGATTGTTGTCGCCGGAAAAAGTCGAAAATCGCCGGAACTCATCAGAAAACGAAGGCCTAGAAGCAATCTCTGGTTAGTAGTGGTTTGTGTTGGTGTACTATGCCGGAAAATCGAACCACGAGACGGTGGTGATCGTCATTGTCGGAGTTTTGCGAGAGGGAGGAAAAGACGCACGAAACGGGTCGTCTGGACCAGTGATGGAACTTGAAGTTTTGATTTGGGGGGGGGGGGTGTCGAGAGTATAATGAATATAAAAATTGGAAAACAGGGGGCCAAAGTCAATTTTTATAGTTTTAGGTCTAATATGTAGAATTCTTAATAGTAGATGACTAATTCTATAGAAAAAAAAAAAAAACGAGGGGGGGGGGGGCACAACCCCCCTAGCCCTAAAGAAGCTCTGTCAATGTCTGGTACGAAGATGGATCAAAAGGGGAGTTACCTTTGGCGATGACATCTTGGAGGGAAAAACACGTGCCTTTCAGTCGTGATTATTAACCATCCGATCCAAAATAATCGAACGGCCAAGATTACATTCACGCGGATCACCATCTACAACGACAGCATGTCGTCGCAATTGGTGTGGTCTCTATTACCTCCCATGAGATTAAACCCTAACCGATGGATCAGTATAACGGCGTAAGGTTAGAATCAACTTTTGTGTGGCGGTAGAGGATCGTCGGTGGAAGGTCATTAGCAATGACGCCTATAGCGACGACATTTTTTGATGTTGCCGCTAAAGGCTACCGTCGTCGCTATAGGCGTATATCCCTTTAATATTAAATAATAATTATTATTTTTTTTAAATAACGCAAAACTTCATAAATGATCCCTGTAGTAGTGAAATGACCGAAATGTCGTTCACTTAACGGCCAAAAGCTAACGGAGTTAATGAAAATGATCATTTGTTAAAAGTTTTGAAACCACAGGGACGATCCGTGAGATTTTTTAAATTTAAGGACTAAACTTGACATTTTTTAAAACCACAGAGACCATTTTTGAAGTTTTATCTAGATTTTATATAATTTACCTATTTTGTAATTATTAAATTTATAGTACATTACATATTTGGTCGATTCTTTTGCAGTTTTAGTCAAATGTGTGATATCCTATAGTTTAAAAATGTATCATACTTGATATTTTCGTTATTTTGGCTATTATCGTCACTCTCCCTTTGTTAACAATATGTAAAATGATGATTTTCACCATGTTTATCCTTGTTACTTTTATATAACAACTTTGACTATTATAGGTCCAGAGTTCAAGGTTCAACACAACCATTTTCTCATTCGTCCACCAAAATAGAATTAAAAACAAAAAAGTAATAAACAAATGTAAAACAAAACAAAACATACATTCAAAATAAATGACCTAAATCAGATTAAAAGTAATAGAAACTTAAAATCATTAAAACAAAACATACTTTTCAATTGCTTGAACGGTGACATGAGCTTCAAGAGATTCTTCTTGAATTATTTTGAAGCTAATATGAGAATGTAAAGGTCATCACTATAAAATCATTGTAGGTAGGATTTTCATTATAGAAATCCTATAATATGAGTACTCATTTTTCTAGTTCACTATACCTTGTATATCAAAGATAATATGATTATCAATATAAAGAATGTTTTCAACCGTTAAAACAAACATATTTATCTTCAATCCTTCTAGGATTTCATCATAGAAATGGAATGCGGTCACCAATAGTGTTGTAAGGAATGGAAGGGGTTCTTGTGGGACCAAGGAAGCGGATGATGAATGGTGGTGATTTCATTATAGAAGGGATGAGGTGAACAATGACCATTTTATATGAAGGTGGGTACAAGGGCCTATCTAAATTTTTATTCTAGTTAGAAGTAATATAAGAAAAAAATAGGACCTACCTTGAAATAAATTTAAGGTCTAACTTACCGTGTTGGACTATTTTATTTTTATCAGTTTTAATTAAATATTTTAATTAAATGGGAAACTATATGGTTTTCAGTTCTAGATTGGATATCAGGGTTGTCCTCATTGAATAACATGTAGCATTTGTCGAAAGTAGATGTGTGGGAGATGAAGACGCCACCAGAGAAATGAGAGATATGATCGGTGGCCAGAAGTAAAGTTTGGGTAGGACTAACATGATGATCATAAAAGAGAGATGTCTTATTTATTTTTGGAGTAATTTATAGATATGATCCTTCTAGTTTATATCTTTTACGAACTTCGTTCATAGGCAAAATCATTTTATGTGTGGTTAACCGAGACCAAGACCGTAACAACCAAATATATTTTTAGCCATGAAAATTACCAGCGTCAAAATTTTAGAATTTGGACTAAAGCTTCAAGAAAATGGCAACTATATATACGAAATCTATAACTTACTTTTAAATTTATTTGGAAAAAGATGGAGAATCATCGCAACTTAAATTACAACACCTCACCATATGCCTTGCGTCGGCGAAAAGGAACTACAAAAGACCTCAAACCGTTCATCTAGCATCCAATTGTCATCCTTCTTAGGACACTAGTTTGCATGCTTGCGACGCATTCTACTCTATTATTCCCCTCAAAATGATATTTGCTCTCTCCCCCTAAAAATTTTCTAAAAACCTCCATTGCATTGAACCTCCAACGGCAGAATTTCTGGAGTGTGAATCCATTACTGGATTTCCAAGTTCCAAGTTCCAAGTTCCAATAAATCAATAATAAAATATCTCTTATTTCTAGGATTTGGATTGATTTAACAGGCGAGTGCTTCACTTCCTGGTGTCTATATGTTTGTTTTTTTGTTAAGATTGAACTTTAATCGAGTTCACGAGAAGTTTGTGTTACTTTTTGTACATATGTTGTTCGTGTTTGTCAAGCATTGACTCTGACATAAGTTTCAGAAAAAAATATGCCCAGTTATGCAACTATATATATATATATAAATATATATATATATATATATATATATATATATATATATATATATATATATATATATATATATATATATATATATATATATATATATATATATATATATATATATATATCACAATTTAGAATCGAAGATCATTTTAAAATGAGTCAAAAAAAAGCATTAGGCTATCTTGTTCTCAAATTATAGTCTTCAAATATGTACTGCTTAATATTTTGATAGAATATAATACAATATCTCTTGGTACCATTAATTAAAACGGCTAGCTTGGCGTAATTAGTTTTCGTTTGTATGTTCTTCGAGAAGTCAAAGTTAATTTGTATTGCACTTGGCATGTTCCTATCCTGATGAAGAATATAGTATTTGTTTAAGATATTTAAATTCTCTGAGATAAGACATGACATATATCTTTAACTTGTTGGTATTGTTTAATGTGACACATGTAGTTATTCTAAAAAAAAAACTAATAAATAGTCTTTCAAATCTTGCTTTAGGCCAAAGAAACAATTCAAATAAAGTATTAGTATTCCGCTGCTGTCTTCATCGTATGTACACAACAGGAACAGTCAAATATTAACAGATGGTTTTACAATTCAGGGGTGTCGTTGCTAGTTTCCAATATTCTTTAATTTTCAGTATTGTAAGATAGCTCCTACTTGGGTTTCATAAACTGTTTTGATAATACAAGGAGCTCATAAGAAACTGATAAAAGATCAGCATGAGTTTGGAGATCTTTCTAAAAGGAGATGTGTACTATGGTGATGTCAAGGGAAAGATTCCTCATGGTAAGGGTAAATACACATGGTCCGATGGTACAGTTTATGAGGGTAGTTGGAAAAAAGGAAAAATGACAGGTGGCGGACGGATCACTTGGACATCTGGCACAACCTTTGAGGGTGAATTTTGTGGTGGCTACCTTGATGGATTTGGCACGTTGACCAATCCAGATGGGTCAACATACATAGGGTCATGGAGGATGAACATTCAGCATGGGCTTGGGAGAAAGCAGTATAGTAATTCTGATGTTTATGATGGTTCTTGGAAAGAAGGAGTACGTGAAGGAAGTGGTAAATATGATTGGTGTAATGATGATATGTATATTGGAAACTGGAAAGGTGGATTGATGTGTGGTAGAGGGGTGATGAAATGGCTGAATGGTGATCTGTTTGATGGTTATTGGCTAAATGGGTATAGACATGGGTCAGGTGTTTATAGGTTTGTTGATGGGAGTTATTATTTTGGGACATGGACAAAAGGAGTCAAAGATGGACGTGGCATGTTTTATCCTGGAGGAAGTATTAGGTGTCCATCATCTAAAAGATTAGGCAAAAAGAAACGAAGTATAAAACGCAGTTTATCTGACAAAATTTCCATTAATGGATTTTTTAAAGAGTTGGGTCGAATATCAAGTAAGAGGATTTCCACTGGGGGTTCTGTTAGGGAGTTCAATACTGATATATTATCTTATACATCTGATGAAGGTGAAAGTGTGGATGATGATGTAGGCGAAAGTCTAGATGACAAAAGTATTGTAGTTTGTGAAAGGGAATACATACAAGGAGTTTTGATTAGCGAAAGGATTAAGAATAATGCAGGGGTGTTATACAAAAAGGAAGAACAGCGAAAATTTCATATGAAAGAAGTGGAAAGGAAGTCGTCTTTGGACATTTTTGAAGGCCATAAAAGCAGTTATCTGATGCTTAATCTCCAGCTAGGTATCAGGTATCCTTCTAACTAAGAGGCTTTTTATTTTTGATTTATGGGCTTAATGGGTTAAGCAATCTGAACAGCTATACATGGTTGTTTCCTTTTTACTTAATCTTGACAGAGTTAAAGCCAAAAACATAGATTAATGTCTTAAGACACTAATCTTTTACCTATTTGCTCTTTTCTTTTTCTCTGGATACATTGCACATTCGAATTGATGAATATTGTTGTAATTGATTAATATTGAGAATTTTGTTTTTCGGAATATGAGGGTAAAATGCTCATTGAGTTTCATTCAGGTGGTATATTAAGTTTAAAAAAGAAACAAACCTCAAAGCCATAACCTTCATCCAAACAGACGCCATTAACATCTGAAAATTTGTAGACACATCAGCACATGTATTCTTGATTGTTCCATTCACCCAACTTTGAGTTCCAGTTCCTTTCTTGATTTCTACCCGATTTCTATCCAATTTAATTCTAAAATGTCTTATGGGACTTGATTAAAGGTACACTGTGGGCAAAATTACACCAGTTCCTATGCGTGAAGTTAGATATTCAGATTTTGGAGAACAATCAAGAATAAGGATGTATTTCCCCAGGAAAGGCTCACAATTAACACCTTCACATTCTTCAATAGATTTCTATTGGAAAGACTATTGTTCTATGGTCTTCAGGTATCTGTATACTAGTGTTGATGTTTTTATAGCATTAAAACATGTTGATGGAGTTTGCTTCTCAGGAATTTGAGGGAGATGTTCAAGTTAGATGCTGCAGATTATATGATGTCCATATGTGGGGATGATGGTTTAAGAGAGCTTTCTTCTCAAGGGAAAAGTGGCAGCCTATTCTATCTCTCTCATGATGACAGATTCGTGATTAAAACCTTAAAAAAATCCGAGCTCAAGGTTTGATTCTACCAACACATGAATATGGTGCTTTATGAATGCTATTTAGCATCTTAATGTTTTCTACATGTATATACTAACAGAGATTATGGCGTAATTGATTTTTCTGTATATTGCATTGAATAAAATACCCTCTATATAAGGAGATATACAATTGATACACCCTTCTAATGAGGAGATAAAATAGGGAAGGATACAAATAAATCATAACTAAAATACACTTCCTCAAATACTAAAGAGTCCGTTAATATATACTACTATCTCTATTTGCATTTTGCATGGCTTAAGAATTGTGCAATTTTTTTCTAGCTCAATAGTTAAATCCAACTGAATTTGCTGCTTTTGTGATTTTAGTACATCCACAACTTGTTATGTCTCTTTCACTCTATCCAAATGGCTTAAGAATTCTACAATTTTATTTCTGAACAAAAAGTAACTATTGTTTATATGATAATGTGATTTTCTATAGGTTTTACTCAAGATGCTTCCAAGTTATTACAAACATGTACATGCTCACGATAACACCTTGATCACCAAATTCTATGGCCTCCATCAAATAACACTAAGAGTTGGCAAGAAGGTATATCATATTTATCTACAATGGTGTCGTTTCGTTTTCTTTTTCCCCCATTAAGTCTTGTATGTAAAGTGAGTGAATGATGTATGCCCGGATAAAATATTGTATACATAACAGTTGCTTTTTTGCTACACAGAATAAACAGTTATCATTTTACCATTACATTCCCAAAAACAAATTCCACTATTTTCATTTATTTAACAAACATCATCAATTTTAATGTGAAAGGAGTTGGGAGGAAAAACAAAGAAGGACAAGTAGGGAAAGGATTAGTGTCTTAATACATTAAGCCATATTTTTTTGGCTTAACCCTGTAAGTCATTCATTCCAAATTTAGTCAAAAAGAAAGAACCATGTATATAGCTGGCCGGATCAAGTGGTTAGCTCATTAAGATGATTCGGTAAAAAAAATAAAAATAAATAACCTCTTATTTTGGTTTTATATATTATCGTAATCAATAGAAATATTTTTTGTGTTGATCTCAATTTTAGGTACAATTTGTAGTTATGGGAAATATGTTCTACACTGAACTTCAAATTCACCAACGTTATGATTTAAAGGGTTCTTATCACGGAAGAAATACAAATAAAGATGATATAGAAGTGGGTACCACATTGAAAGACCTTGATCTTGCTTATGATTTCCATATGGACAAGTCGTTACGTGATGCACTTTTCAAGTAAGTTTGACTTATCATCAACTATATCACTAGTTTCTATTTTATACTATAAGGGGGCATTTGATTTGTATAATGTTTTTTAAAATGAATGGAAAGGAAGTGAAATATGAGTCGCTTCGAATATTGAGGAATTGCGATATGCTATATGTTTGGTTGGCAAAAAATGTGTAAGTGTGAGAATCTTGAAGCCTCTTCTCATCAAGAAATCACATACAAATTACACAAGAAATTATCTATGTAAGGAAAGTATGGCTAACATATGATCTATGTCTAGTTTATATCTAATATGGATACAGGTGAAAGTAATACATATCTAGTGTAATAGTCTCATATTGTCATAGTGGGAGTTTGACGGATGCACTCTATTCCAAAACTCATTAAATAGAATCGGTGATAGACCTTATGTGAAAACATTGGCTAGTAGGTACCAATGTTGTAAAAATTCGTAGGCAGTATTTGGTTGGTCGACTAGGGACTAGCAAGTACTCGGCCTAAGCCGAAGTAGTTAGATTGATAACGTGTTAAACATTCAATAATTGATATGAACTCTTTAGTAGGGTAATCACTTAATCTCCAGCCTTTTTTTCTGGTTCCATCAAATTTGCATTAAAATAGATAAAGTTAAAATCAAACAATAAAGGGTTTCATGAATAATTGAATATATTAATTACTTAACAATTATAGTTGCTTTTTTTTTTAGGAAAATGTCAAAATTCACGATCTTGACTGATTTGGCCGAGTTTTTCCAATGTGACCCTACTTTGATCGAGCTTGATCAATTCCGATTATTTTACCGATTTCTAGAAATCATCTTGGTATATACCCAATTTCAAGTACTCAACCGAGTAGTTCGAGTTTTATGACAATGGTGAGTATCGAGATGAAATTTATAAAACTCATACTTCTCATTTTGCATCTTTTTCCCGAACAAAGTGGATGTTCATTTCATTGTGCTTTGTGCATCGGTGTTGGAGTTCCCCACTAACTAAATTGCACTTATATTATCACAATACACAATTGTGGCCAGAGATTCTTAAGAGCAGGTTTCGTTACCAACATTCTCTGGAGATCGGATTTGCAGTTCCTTGGTATTCGACTTTAGCACTAGACTAAGATAAAGACTATGTTTGGGGGACCACAAAATCAATTCATCAATGAGGGAAACATAATAACCACATGTTGGTCATCGGGAATTCGGACATCCCCTTCCTCCAATCTGCATTGATGTAGAAAACAAGATAAATGGAGTGAGATTTTGTGAGGTGTAAATCGTGAGTGATCATATCGTAGATGTAGCAGTAATCTATTGAAGCACGTTCACATGATCCTTTGAGGAGCATTCTTGACTTACCAAAAGATCATTTTCGTGACGTCTAACTGAAATGCCAAGAAAGTAACCAAGTAGTCTAAGTTCCTTCATAAAAAATTCTCATGTAAAGAGATCCATAAGAGAGTGTGGTAGTTGATGAGAGGAAGTGGTTAGAATTATGATGTGATATAAAGTAGAAGATACGCCACATCATTAATATGTTGATAAGATAATTAAATAGCTAGGTCACATATATTATGTATCAAACAAATTATGTCCATGAAATCTATACAACATTCGTATGAAGCACGTGTTGCTTATTTCAGACCGTCCAAGGACATACAAGACAAACGTTATTGAGATGTTAATCATCACAAACCCTATTGGTATAAATATATATATATATATATATATATATATATATATATATATATATATATATATATATGGTTTTTTATAGGTGGCCATGAAAAAATTCATTTTTGACATCTAGTTGATGTATAGGACGTGATTTTGACACATCAAGGTTTAGTACGGTTCTAATGGTAGTTGGTTTAAGAAGCGGTCGGTTAAATTCTTATGTAAATAAATATCGACCAACTGACAATGAGCATCCCCTACTATGCATGCTTTATACTTCTCAAAACGCTCGTCTAGTTTTAGTTTGTGTTTAAAAAGCAAATCGATCTAACCATATCTATATCTATATATATATATATATATATATATATATATATATATATATATATATATATATATATATATATATATATATATATCATGGTTGTCAAAATCGCAATCATAGTCGTAAGATTTTATGATCCTACGATCCGATGTACGAAAAACGAGCATGATCGTAAATGGATCGTAGTTGGGGTAGGATCGCAGGTAGGAACGTAAGATTGTAGGTAGGATCGTAGGATCGATATCAGCTCTTATTCTACCTTCCATTGATTTTTTTTTTCTACTTTTTTTTTTTTTTTTTTTTTGCAAATGAAACTTTTTATACTACTTTATGTCTTTACCGTTTTTTCAATTTACAGTTTATCATTTTGCGTTGTGATTTATAACTAATATCTTGAAGTTTTTATATCCTTTGAACAAATAATCAAACGTTTGAAATATTTTTCATATTTTTAAAATTATAAGTTAAAATTTTGTTTTATTTTGTGGGATCTTAAGATCCTGATTTCGATCTTGCAAACCCAAAAATGATCCTACCTAGGACCCCGATTTTGACAACCTCCATATATATATATATATATATATATATATATATATATATATATATATATATATATATATATATATATATATATATATATGGTCTCGTTCGGGTGAGGACTCAAAAAATAGTGAGGGTAATTCTCCATCACCCATTTCATTAAGAGCACAAACGTCAAACTCAAATTCTTAGTCGTCGTGTTTTCGCATGCGACTCACGTCCGTAGTAACTAATACGGACCTGATGATTTAATCACATGTGGCGAATATCCATAGAACGTCATTTAAGTGGATTTTATTATTTATTTTTGTTTTTATTTATTTTTCGTAAAAAAACTAAATTTAAAAAAAATAATTACATAGATATATGTTCGGTTTTAACGTTTTTAATTTATTTTGTTTTTTATTTTATTATTTTCCTTTTTCTCATTTTCTTTCGTTTTTTTAATATATTTACTACATACTTAAAGGTACTAGAGTTTTTCTTTATTTTTGTTTTTATTCCTTTTAATTTTTTTTATTTTTAATTTTAAACTAAATATCGATTTGAGTTTTTAATGTTTAACAATTATAAAATTTTAAATAAAAAGAGTATTAAAGATCATAACATTTTTCGTTCATGTCTTTTTTTAATCATATTATTTTGGATCATAAAATTTTGAATCAGTAATATATTCAAATAAAAATAGTTTTTCTTCAAAACAACTTACGAATCATTATATATTTTTAATCATAGAAGATATAATTAAGTATTATAAAATATTTGAGTCAAAATATTTTTAGATCATAACAAATTAATAATCATAAATAAGTTAAATCAAAAGTTTTTTTTGAATCATAAATATTTTGAATTAACACACTTTGGATCATATTATGGTCAACAATTATTAAAGAAAATTGTATTTCTAAAAATTAAAAATAAATACTTCAATACATAGTTTTGAAAATTTCTTTTTTAAAAGTCACTAGTATATTGAGTAGAAGTATCCCTAAAATTTTAATTATTTTTGGAGAATTTTTTTTTTTTCAGGTTTTTTATAAAAATAAAAACAATAATAATTGTTTTGTCAAATTTTCATAATTTTTTTTACATAACAATGAATAATAGGAAAAAAATCTTATGCAAAAAAACTTGCTTTTGGAAATCACATATTGTTTTAGGAAGGATATGATTATTTTAGGATATCATATGCTCTGGGAAAATATTTAGGTAATAAAACGACGTAGTTTAATGAGATTTAGTACCTAAGGTTAGTTGGGACTATAATGTATATTCATCTTTCCATATATATATATATATATATATATATATATATATATATATATATATATATATATATATATATATATATATATATATTCAATAAAAATATAAAAATTAGATATAAGGAATATATAATAATAACTTTTTATGTGTTAATTTAATTCCACTTCTTTCCAACCATACAAATACAGACTAATGCCTTTATATTCGAAATTCATCATATTTCAATTCGTTTGATAGGTATCATTTCTTCCAAAAATATGAATATTTTATTAACCAAATGACCCATGACTTTACTATTTCATTGAAGTTCCCTCCTATTTTTTTGCAGACAAATCAAGCTTGATTGTATTTTTCTAGAATCTCAACGGATTATAGATTATAGCCTTCTTTTGGGATTGCACTTTAGAGCTCCTGAACATCTGAAGAGTCTATTGGAACCACCAGATGCATTTCACAAGTTGCAGAAAACTCTAGGTGAAAGTAAATATTTTTATTCATATTATTATTTAGAATTATTTAATAATTTAGAGAACTATTGTGCTTTCTTAGGTCCACTACGTCATGTGGATCATTCTATTCCTCCAAAGGGACTTCTTCTAGTGACACATGAACCGAGTTCTGTGAACACTGAACCGGGTCCACATAGTAGAGGAAGTACTTTAAGGGCATTTTCGGTAGGTGACAAAGAAGTTGATCTCCTTCTTCCTGGTACTGCAAGGTATTCCATATGCTCTTTGTTTAGATTTTTGTCAAATGATAAGTGCAATGGTGAGGCATTTTTTTAACATTTAATACTACGATGGAATATAATCCCAGGCATGAACTACTTAATGAAATGGATCATTACATTTCATTATAATATTTTGTTGTCTCGAATGAATGTGATGAATTATTCAAATATGGTGCATGTTATCCATAATTTGCCATCTAATTGAAATTTAATTGGTAAACAGGGATAAGAAAGTTATGCTGTAAATAATTTTCTTTAAATTCAGATATTCCACAATGTCATTTCGGTGTACATGAAAAGAATTATAATTTGTTCACATATTTTCCATTTTTTAACTAATCTTTAGAAAAAAAAAACTTTCAGGTTACGGGTGCAGTTAGGTGTGAACATGCCAGCTCATGCAAACCATAAGGTCTCTCACGATATTTCTGGTTCCACAGAAGTCAAACTTTATGAAGTATATGATGTCGTTCTCTATCTCGGTATAATCGATATACTGCAAGAATACAACACAAGGAAAAAAATAGAATATGCTTATAAATCCACCCGCCATGATCCCATCTCAATATCCGTTGCGGATCCTAAATTTTACTCCAAACGATTCTTCAATTTTCTCGAAAAGGTTTTCCCTTCTAATACTTAATTATGATATTTATATTTTCAATGTAACACATGATGTATAAATATATTTACTTATCGTATGTACAAAAATATGTTAATAGTTATATCTATATGTGCATTATATTGTATTTGGGTATGTGGTTATCTATCATTTGTACATAAATATATTAGTAGTTATATGTGCATTATATCGTATTTCGGTATATGGATAAAGTGGTAGACTTTAATCCTTTAAATGTACATATATCAATGATTCGTACAGTTCATTAAACATCAACCACCTAGAATAGTTTGTGATGCACCCTACTACCCCCACTCCTACCAAAGCTAATTGTTCAATCACTAATCCATCATTGTTTCTGTTTTGACTTTTGACTATTGAGTTTAGAAACTTTTGTCCGTCTGAACAAAACAGCACATGGGTCTTTTCCTTTCAAAAAGTGCAAGGTTGGATTGACCTTTCTTTTTCTAGTGTTACAACTGTTGTAAGAATTATATATATATATATATATATATATATATATATATATATATATATATATATATATATATATATATATATATATATAAGTTATCGTGAGAACTAAGAAAAGCGTGTGACCTTGCGAACTAATAATTAATTCATCATTTTTCAACACAAAAAACATCAATCTTCTTAAAATGGTGTGTCTAAGACATATCTAGGCTAAAAAAAATTAGTTATTTTTGAAATTTGCTTGTATGTACAATCAGTTGTATGTACAATCAGCAGTTGCATGGACTGCTAATGAGGACAATCAATAATCATATGGACAACAGATGTGCACAATCGGCATCCATATGGACTACTGATGAGCAATCAACAGTATGTATGACTACTGATTGTGCTCATTAGTAGTCCGTACAACTGTTGATTTTGTTCATCAGCACTCATACAAAAAAAACAAAATAAATAAAAAAACATCAAACCTTATATATATATATATATATATATATATATATATATATATATATATATATATATATATATATATATATATATATATATACTAGCCGTTTAGTTACGCCAAGCAACGAATGCGAATAATTTCTTTTAGAAATTAGTTTCTAGAGACAATTAGTTTTTTTGTGACAATAGTTACTACATCTAAACAATTATTATTAAAAATTATGGTAATAGAAAAGAAATCAATAAGAATTAAAAATAAAATGTTAGAATTCTTTACAAATCTACATGAACACATCATTTATTAATTTGTTTTATTATTTGTTTGTTTTGTGAAATCAATATATTTTATTAGATTGTTTCACTATTTGTTTGCGTTTTTCCATATATAATAATATTTATAAGAGATTTTATGTAATAGGTATCATTAAAAGAAGGAATTATCAACATTATAAATGATATTATTGATATACCATTTTTAAGTTGTAAAATCTCACATTGTATTAATTTTGCTCTTTTCTAATAGTTGTCTACTATAATTAAGTGTCCATAGTGATGCACCACATTTCCCGAATCATTAACCATATTCATAAAGTTAAACTCATGACGTAATTTTAATCCTAATTTGAATCTAAAACTTTTTAAATTTGTTTAAAATTAAAATGTATTTTATATACTAACGGATGTAATATAAAACACAAAAATTTCTCAACATATGAACAACTTAACAAAAAAATTGGAAGAAATCAAAGAACTACAAAACGTTAAGTTTTTGCAAAAAAATTACATGGAAGAAAATCAAACAAATACAAATAATCTATTACAAACATTAAAATTAAATTGCCATTACTTTTAAACCAACAAAACGTTTTAAACCAACAAAACGTACTTTGTTGTTATCATCACTTGTTAATGAAATGATATAACTTAACTAATGTTGTTAATATTATATTCTAAACCTTCTAATTACAGTCTCTGATTTTTTGCTAAGATTTGTTACAATGAGTAACATCCCTATATACCTTGTTTAATAAAACAAATTGCTAAGATATACCAAAATAATAGATTGTCACAACATTCGCTTTTAATAACAAAATAAATGGATCCAGTCCCAACAGCCCCAAAAACAGCAACATGCTTTGGGAAGTTGCAAAAAACAACGGCATACTTTAGGTCTTATACAAACAAAAGTCAAAAAAAACATGGGTCTATAATTTCTCAGTGATTCAAAGAGGTTTTCAGCCTTCATCATCCCAATTATTTTTTGGGTGAATCCTTGCATAGCTTCCTATTAACATCAAGTACTTATGCCACAAAGTCAGGGTTATATGTGTCATTTAACAATATTCCTCCAAGAAAATTTTGAATGAGAAAATAAAACCTTAAATAGATGTTCTGAAGCGAATAGACGGAACTTATTGAGGCTGCCCCAGAAACTTAAGAAATGTCAAAAGGACAAAAATGCCCTCGGTACCACCTAAAAATAAAGCTTTACTCCAAATACACACACATATGGGGCCGATAGGGCATAACTGCGAGCATCATACCAAAGCATTTACCAAATAGATGAGAGAAAGGAAAACTACTTATGTTATCATTGTTGATAGCTTACTTCACTTGAAATGCAAAAAATAGCATTAAGGTACCTTCATTAGATGGTTAAACCCACATTTCATAATATGGAGGAGATTTTGACTTGTGATCTTTTCCATGTTGTAGATTTTGTTGAGATGTTGGGCGAGGATGCTTTATATCACTAGACCAGACATGCCCATCAAACATTTTTAACACAATAATTTGAAAATGCCCTAGTTCAACAACATCTATCAATCTGAAACTTCATAAACATATTAAAAAGCTAAGACGTAATTTCATCATCCAACTGAAATATTAATCAACATTTCAATTACTACAAAGCTATAATTGCATTTCAAATTTGAATTTAATAGAAACAAAAAGGAAAGTAAAAATGGGGCTAACCTACATCTGTTGAAGACAAATAGTATTCAGGGTTATATTCAATTGACTTTAATGATTATTGTTTGCCGATTTCTCTTTGTTGTGACAAAAACTAACATATATAAAGAAAAAATAAATTAGGGGAAATATAGACAAATAAATTCACATGCTAATAGAGACAAAACAAACACATACTCTAGTGCTCAGGAACTTAGTACTTCTTCGGATTCATAGTCTTCAACTGAATAATTAACATCAAGATTTGCAATTAAGATCATGTGTACATTATACATAAAATTGAGAAATCAGATGAATAAAGCCTAGGGATAGAGAGGATGATGAAGAAAGCATACCTTTTTCTTCATAAAAGGAGAAGGGCGAGAGTGAGTGACTTCAGAGATGGTGGGCTTGAGTTGTTAGATTCATATATGGAAAAGAAAACCTGATTTTTCCAAAACATCTAATGCATATGTGAAACAAAACATCAACTTTCCACAAAAATGAAAATTAGTATAATCGGATATGAAGACGCTACCCATGATGAAGAAGAAGAAGCAAAGGTAGGTAGGTGAGAAGGAGGAATAGCCCCAATTGTTATTAGCTTAAGGCAGAAGGAGGCCGACGCCGTCTATGGTTGTGGTTGTGCAAAATCGTAGCTTAAGTTAACATTTCAAAGAGAGGCGATAGGTTAGGGTTACTGGAGTCGATTTTTGATAAGAAATAGGAGAAGGGCCGATATATGGGGAAGAGATAAGAACAAAAGCTAGCTGCAGCATATGAGAATGATTGACTGGTTCTTTATGCTTTTAAAGAGGAATTTGAATGAGTCTCCGCACAAAATTGGGGAGACAGGCGGCGATTTGAATTAGTCTGACCGATCCATATTTTGTTGACCAAATAAGAGTTTAATGCTTAAAAATGTTGTATATGATGCTTTAAGGGTTGTACCTGTTAAAATTCAGCAAAATCTTGTAAATGCTTTTTAAGGTATATATATATATATATATATATATATATATATATATATATATATATATATATATATATATATATATATATATATGTATTAAATTTATATCATAAGTCAATTTACACTTACCCAATGAACCCATTCAAACCAAATATATAACTTTTTGAATTTGTGAATTAGTATATAATTAGTTGTATTATATTTTGATTTTTATGTATTAAACTAAAAATAGAGTGTATTAGGTTGTATATATTATGTAAATTTTCTGTTAAAATACGAACGAATGTATGTATAAAAACATTAAACTGCGTATTAGTGAATTAATATGTCTATTAAACTGTAAACATGTCTTATAAACAATATTTTTTTTTAAAGAAATTTACAATTTAAAAAAAGAAGATTGAATTTTTCAAGACATAAACTACTTCTTTTTTATTAAATTTTCTATATTTTGCTAGAAAAATAAAACGATATGTTCTAAAAAGTATTCTTAAAGAAACGAGAGCTACAATGTTTTTTCAATTAAGTTGTGAATACGATCATAAAAATATCACTGAATTTGGTGTTTGTTAGAACAACGAATTTGATTGCGCGGGAACAAGGCTCGAAAACTCAAACCTTGAGTTAATGTTTAAGATCAATGTCTGCTTCTGATTAATAGTTCCAGTCAAATTTGGTAAGACTAGTCAAGACTGAATATGAGAATCAACAAAGTAATTTAAGTATTAAATATGAGACCATTACTATGATCAAAGTAAAGACAATAAATGAACACAATGAATGTTTGAAAGAATGATTTGAGAGAAATGTGCAAGTGAAGTAAATGTGAAAATATCTTTTCTTTGGAAAAACAATCCATCTACTATTCTTTCCATTAAACTCTCCTTAAATAGGAGAAAGAGTTACATCGGATAAACTCGAATACAAAGATAGGACTGGATAAAAGAGTTACATCCACTACAAGAAAAAAACGATTTTGCTAGGGAAGGAATCTGTTGCAAAAGTTGAAATTCTGTTGCAAAAGATGAATAGAAACAGAATTTGCAACGAAACTGTTTCGTCCCAAAAAACCCCATAGCGAAGGTGTTGCAACGGAAATAATAATTTCGTTGCAAATGTGACAACGGAATGAAATCCGTTGTAGATGGTATTTAATCGAGTATTCCGTTGTAGGATGACGTTCCGATTTCGTGGTAGTTCTTCCATCACAAATTTTGTGGTGATGAATCCCTAGTTAAATCCTTTGTGATGACTCCCTAGCTAAATCCGTTGCGGCGACT